CAGTGTCACTGGCCCTCATATGTGGGATCCGAACCGGGGCCCTCTGGCATCCCAAGCGAGTTCTTAACCATCGCGCCACTCGGCCGGCCCATATAGCTGTATTCTTATGGTTATATCTTTTACCCTCAGTCAACAGGAATCTCTGAACGTTAGTTAGACCCATTCTTTTCAGTTTTCAAAAACAATACTACGCACATTAAAGGAATCCAAAAAAGGAATGTGAAGCAGTGGAAAGTGCACTAAGTTTGGAATCAGGAGACATGGGCTTCAGTTTTTTCTATTTCCTTACTGGCAGTGTGACCTACGGGTAGTTGTGTCACCATTCTAAACCTTTTATTTCCTCATCTGTACAATGAAGATGGTCCCGGCGGAGAAACAGAGAATAGTGTGTGTGTGTGTGTGTGTGTGTGTGTGTGTGTGTGTGTGTGTGTTCCTTTTTTGCACTCCAGGCTTGGCTCCGTTAAGGAGCTCCAAGTTCCAGGGCCGGCTTATGAGGAGTCTATCTCGTCGTCTTCTCTCCGGGATCTCTGCCTATTAACTTTGCAGCAGAAGAAAGTGGTTGTGACCCTGGGCCAGCCCTCAACTTGGCAGTCACACAGCAGTGCCCTCACCGTGACAGGAGGAGCGCGTGTCCAGGGATAGGAAAGACAGAGGCTCAAGCAGTGCAACCAGGCCAGCTCTGCTTCCTAATCAAGCACCCTACACACCAGCTCTGCCGCTCGGACGTGGTGCAGACAAGGGGAAAGCTGGGTTTAAGGCTTCCAGGCTTGGCTCGACCCAGGTTTAGAAAAGAACACAGGTCCTAGGAAGACCCACACTGCCGCGTAGCTTAGGATCCTAGAAAAAACGCTGCCCACGTTCCCGATGAGATCAGACAAAACCCGGAGTCGCTACTCCCAGCCCGCAGGAGAGGCCCTCGTGACCTCCCGCCTTCACCTATAACGCCAAATACTGCCCTGCGTAAAATTAATTACCATAAACTTCTAGCGCTTTCTCTTCCATGATCCGGGGCTGCCGGGCAGCTCCCCGCTCAAAGAGGCTCGAGAGCCACACGACTCTGCTCAGCATCCAGGACAGCAGACGCGACATCCACTCCATCCTCACGCTCCGCCATCCCTGGCGACTGTCCCACTCGAGCCACCGTCTGTCAGCAGCCGGCCTCGCGACTTATCAACTTCCTGGTCTTCATAAGGGCCAAAACAAGCCTAAAGGTCCAGGAGAGCAGAAAATAGGCGGGTCCGGACGGAGTAGCGCGGAGGATTTAGGGAAGGGCGCCGCAAGGACCACAAGCCCCAGCATGCTTTGCTCGGCGTCGGCGTGACTAGAGAAAAAAATTCCTCGCGGAACGTGAGGCTCATTGCGTGCTGGGACATGTAGGACGTTTTCTTCCGAAGACAGGGATTTGTAGTTTCCGCCGTGGAGAGGGGGAGGTGGTACTGTAACGGTTTATTACCCGCCACTGAGTGCCTCAGCGCCCCCGATAAGCTAAAGATGAATCCTGAAGACGTAGGGGAAAGGAGATCTTGATTTCTAGTCCTGGAGGAGCGTGCACGGAGACTCTCATACTGTTATTTCTCCAAGGGAGCCTCTTCCACACAGTTTTCTTACTACTTAATAAAGCCGGAAGTGAGTTTCCGTTGAGATAAAACGGGATGTCCTGGGAGCCCAGTAAGGATAGTTAGGCTGGTGGGGGTAGTGGGAGGGCTTTTTGGTTTTCTTGTCTCATAGGGACTCAGGCCAGCACAACTCCCTAGGACAGGCTGAATATTTCTGCCAGTCGCCTTCAAAGATAACTTAGAATCAGAGAGCTTTCCCCGTGTTCAGTGCATCCAATAGTGACATATAGGAGATCGCGATCCGAAAAAGAATGCCTTAAGTCCTCTAGTGTTCGTGGCGGTGATGGATGCCAATAACAAGGTTGATGATGTCAGTTTTATTTATCCATCCCTCCAATCAAATCTCAAACATTTATTGGGTATTTGATTTGCCAGACTTGGTCTATAGGCACCAACGATACAAAGATAGGACAAGGCCCCTCTCCTCCAGCGGCTCACAGACCTGTGAGGGAGCCAATTCCTGATGTTGAGGAATTTGCAGTTAAAAACAAACTGATTCTTTTGTCAAAGTTGATGCCAAGTTTTATCTCGATTGAGAAGAAAGGAGTATCTTGCAGAATTATCCCATGACATATCCCATTTATCTTTAAACTCTTGTTTAATGATAAATGTTTATCTAGCTGATTTATACTTGAGGCTCACCAGACAACCAGAAAATAATTTAGGTCCCAGGAAAATTTTGTCCCAAGTTTAATAATTTCCCTGCCATCTGTTCAACGTCCCTTACTCCACAGCAATTGAGAGGATAATCCTCACTTCCTTGCAACCACATTTAGGACGCTGAAGTTTCACCTTCTTTGTGAGGCCTCCCGACTTCAACAAATAGAACTGATGTTCTCTTTTAACTGGGCTCGCACAGCCCCTTATAGCACTGAACGGTATTGAGTTGTTACTTTACATGCCTGTCTACCTCAAGCACCTAGTTGGCCAGGAGCTTCTTTATTTTTACATCTCGGATGCGTAGCAGAGTGCCAGGCACACATTTGATGCTCAATATATACTTTTGAATGAATTAACTAAATGTTGTCCAAAGAATAAATGGTGAAACGTTACTACAATTTGTTCAGAGACCTCAATCAAAAATATTTATTGAATCTCTATGAGGGCGCTGTGCTTGGGATGGGTAGGTGGCACTAGAGGTTTTCAGACTCATTTATTAAATGACATCTCCTTAAGAATCCCGTTTGATAAAACCCTCCAGAGCACAAAGAGCCCTGGCAACCTGAGCCTCCCTGGCTCCTCCTCTTTTGCCCCTTTGTCCCCTTGGTTAAGATAGCATCGCGATGCAGGACTCGGATTTGCTGGGCAGAAGCCGCGAGCGCCTAGGCCCCGCCCCTGCCCCCCTGCCCGGCCCGGCGCTTTCTACGGGGTTGGTCGCAGCCATCCCACTCCTCGCCCCGTTGTAACTGCTC